GATGGAACAATTTGGACGATTGGGATGATTGGGATGGGATGATTGGGATGGATGGGATGATTGGGATGGAATGATTTGAATGATTGGGATGGGATGAGATGGATGATGTGGGATGGGATGATTGGGATGGAACAATTGGGATGATTGGGATGGGATAATTGGGATGGAACAATTGGGATGATTGGGATGGAATGATTGGGATGGCCGAGCCAAGCCGGGCGCTCCCACAGGGCCCCAGCGGTCCCGGGCTCAGCTCTGGGTGTTCCTGGGAGTTCCTGGGTGGGTTTTTTTAGGGTTCTCCCCTCACCCTCGAGCAGCTGGGGCAGGAAATGAGCGGCTGCTTTGTCCTTGCGCACGCGGGGCCCGGCCATGGGGCGGCCGTGCCGGTCCAGCCCCAGGTACCACGCGCGGCCCGAGCGGCGCTGCCGGTACAGGGCTGAGGCGTAGAGAACGTGGTAGTTCTCGAAAACACACTCCTTGAAGCGGCACACCAGGGTGAAATGGACCTGGGGGGGCACATGGGGGTCACCTGGGGGCACCTGAGACCCCCCCAGAGTCATAGAGACCCCCCAAGAGAACGTGGTAGTTCTCAAAAACACACTCCTTGAAGCGGCACTCCGGGGTGAAATGCACCTGGGGGGGCACACGGGGGTCAATTGGGACCCCCCAAAACCATCCCTGAGTCATAGAGACCCCCCCAGAGTCACAGGGACCCCCCCAAGAGCACGTGGTGGTTCTTGAAAACACACTCCTTGAAGCGGCACTCCGGGGTGAAATGGACCTGGGGGGCACATGGGGGTCACCTGGGGGCACCTGAAACCCCCCCAGAGTCATAGAGAGCCCCCCAGAGTCATAGAGACCCCCCAAGAGCACGTGGTAGTTCTCGAAAACACACTCCTTGAAGCGACATTCCGGGGTGAAATGGACCTGGGGGGGCACACGGGGGTCAATTGGGGGCACCCCAAACCCTCCTGGGTCATGGGGACACCCTGGGACCCCCCCAGAGTCACAGGGACCCCCCAAGAGAACGTGGTAGTTCTCGAAACACACTCCTTGGAAGGCACTCCGGGGTGAAATGGACCTGGGGGGCACATGGGGGTCAATTGGGACCCCCCAAAATTCCCTGAAACCCCCCAGAGTCACAGGGACACCCTGGGACCCCCCAAGAGCACGTGGTGGTTCTCGAACACACACTCCTTGAAGTGACATTCCGGGGTGAAATGGACCTGGGGGGGCACATGGGGGTCAATTGGGGGCACCCCAAACCACAGGGACCCCCCAAAACCCTCCCTGAGTCACAGGGACCCCCCTGGAGTCACAGGGACCCCCCAAGAGCACGTGGTGGTTCTCGAACACACACTCCTTGAAGCGACATTCCGGGGTGAAATGGACCTGGGGGGGCACATGGGGGTCAATTGGGACCCCCCCAAACCACAGGGACACCCCCTGGGTCATAGAGACCCCCCTGGAGTTGAAGGGATCCACAGGAATCCCCCCCAGAGCACCAGGGGGATTTTGGGATCCTTGAGGGGGTTTTTAGGATGGGGGAGGTTTTAGGATGGGGGGAGGGGTTCCTGAGCCGCATTTTGGGGTCCCAGGGTGGGATTTTGGGGGTTCCAGGGGAATTTTGGGGGGTTCCAGGGTGGGATTTTGGGCGTTCCATGGGAATTTTGGGGTCCAAGGGTGGGATTTTGGGGGTTCCTGAGCTGCATTTTGGGGTCCCAGGGTGAGATTTTGGGGGTCCCAGGGTGGGATTTTGGGGTCCCAGGGTCGGATTTTGGGGTCCCAGGGTGGGATTCTGGGGTCCTGGGGTCAGATTTTGGGGGGTTCTAGGGGAATTTTGGGTCCCAGGGTCAGATTTTGGGGTCCCAGGGTTGGATTTTGGGGTTCCAGGGGAATTTTGGGGTCCCAGGGTCAGATTTTTGGGGGTTCCAGGTGAATTTTGGGGTCCCAGGGTGGGATTTTGAGGTCCCAGGTGAATTTTGGGGTCCTGGGGTCAGATTTTGGGGTCCTGGGGTCAGATTTAGGGGTCCCAGGGTGGGATTTTGGGTTTCCAGGGGAATTTTGGGGTCCCAGGGTGGGATTTTGGGGTCCCAGGGTGGGATTTTGGGGGTCCCAGGGTGGGATTTTGGGGTCCCAGGGTTGGATTTTTGGGGGTCCCAGGGTCACATTTTGGAGATTTCAGAGAAATTTGGGGGTCCCAGGGTCAGATTTTGGGGTCCCAGGGTGGGATTTTGGGGTCCCAGGGTGGGATTTTGGGGTCCCAGGGTCGGATTTTTGGGGGTCCCAGGGTCACATTCTTGGAGATTTCAGAGAAATTTGGGGTCCTAGGGTCAGATTTTGGGGTCCCAGGTGAATTTTGGGGGTCCCAGGGGAATTTTGGGGGTCCCAGGGTCAGATTTTGGGGGTCCCAGAGTCGGATTTTGGAGGTTCCAGGGGAATTTTGGGGTCCCAGGGTCAGATTTTGGGGGTCCCAGGTGAATTTGGGGGTCACTCACGGACGTGTAGACGAGCCCGGCCCCGTTCATGGCCACGTAACGCCCGGCTCGGGTGCCCTGGATGGCCACGACCCTCAGCCCCACTGGGATCAGGTTAAACAGGGCTGGAATGGACACCAGTTCAGACCAGTTCAAACCAGTTCAAACCAGTAACCTCCCCCAGTCCATCCCAGTTCATCCCAGTTCATCCCAGTATAGCCCAGTCCAGCCCAGTCACCCCTGGATGGCCACGACCCTCAGCCCCACCGGGATCAGGTTAAACAGGGCTGGAATGGACACCAGTTCAGACCAGTTCAAACCAGTTCAATCCAGTTCAAACCAGTAACCCCCCCCCAGTTCATCCCAGTTCATCCCAGTTCATCCCAGTATAGCCCAGTCACCCCTGGATGGCCACGACCCTCAGCCCCACCGGGATCAGGTTAAACAGGGCTGGAATGGACACCAGTTCAGACCAGTTCAGACCAGTTCAAACCAGTTCAAACCAGTAACCTCCCCCAGTCCAGCCCAGTTCATCCCAGTTCATCCCAGTTCATCCCAGTCCAGCCCGGTCACCCTTGGATGGCCACGACCCTCAGCCCCACCGGGATCAGGTTAAACAGGGCTGGAATGGATCCCAGTTCAGACCAGTTCAGACCAGTTCAAACCAGTAACCTCCCCCAGTTCACCCCAGTCCAGCCCAGTTCAGCCCAGTTCATCCCAGTCCAGCCCAGTCACCCCTGGATGGCCACGACCCTCAGCCCCACTGGGATCAGGTTGAACAGGGCTGGAATGGACACCAGTTCAGACCAGTTCAGACCAGTTCAAACCAGTAACCTCCCCCAGTCCAGCCTAGCACAGCCCAGTTCATCCCAGTATAGCCCAGTTCAGCGCTGGATGGCCACGACCCTCAGCCCCACCGGGATCAGGTTAAACAGGGCTGGAATGGACACCAGTTCAGACCAGTTCAAACCAGTTCAGACCAGTTCATCCCAGTAACCCCCCCCAGTCCATCCCAGTCCATCCCAGTTCACCCCAGTTCAGCCCAGTTCATCCCAGTAACGCCTGGACGGCCATGACCTTTGACCCCCCGCGGGGAGCGGGTTCAGCGGGATGGGGGGAGGGGCTTGACGAGGCCACGCCCACTCTCATTGAGTACCCAGACCCCGCCCCCTCTCATCGAGGCCCCGCCCTTTCCACGCATGGCCACGCCCATTTCTGATATACCACACCCATCCTTAGACCACGCCCACTCTCCATAGGCCACTCCCCCTCCATCTTAGCCCCACCCACTCACAAGCCACGCCCTCACCATTTAGCACTGCCCTCAGCCCCGCCCTCCCATTGGCCCCACCCACTCTGCCTGGCCCCGCCCCTCCCTCAGACCCCACCCCCTCCTTTCAAGCTCCACCCATCCCCACTCAAGCCCCACCCACTCAGTTGCCTGGCCCCGCCCACCCCGTTTAGGCCACACCCCTTTCCCCTCATGCCCCGCCCATTTTTAAACCCCGCCTCCTCATTTCCAGGCTCCGCCCCTTCCCTCATGCCCCACTCCTCCCAGTAGGCCCCACCTCCCACTTCCAGGCCCCGCCTCCTCCCAGCAGGTCCCACCCCTCTCAGGAGGCCCCACCCCTCAATTCCAGGCCCCACCCTCACTTCCAGTCCCCGCCTCCCATAGACCCCTCCTTTTCCCAGTAGGCCCCGCCCCTCACTTCAAGGCCACGACCCTCAGTTCTAGGCCCCGCCTCACTTACAAGTCCTGCCTCCTCCCAGCAGGCCCCTCCCTCTCAGGAGGCCCCACCCCCACTTCCAGGCCCTGCCCCTCACTTCTAGGCCCTGACCCCTCCCAGCAGGCCCCACTCCCTCCCAGTAGGCCCCACCCCCTCACTTCCAGACCCCGCTCCTCCCAGCACACCCCACTCCCCTCTCAGGAGGCTCCTGCCCCTCAGTTCGGAGGCCCCGCCCCTCACTTCCAGGCCCCACCCCTCACTCCAGACCCCGCCCTCAGTTCCAGGCCCCACCCTCTCCAGGAAGCCCTGCCCTCACTTCCAGGCCCCGCCCCAGATCCAGGCCCTGCCCCCAGATCCAGGCCCCGCCCTCCCAGCAGGCCCCACCCCTAAGTTCCAGACCCCACCCCCTCTCAGGAAGCCCCACCCCTCACTCCAGGCCCCGCCCCCAGATCCAGGCCCCGCCCTCACTTCCAGGCCCCGCCTCACTTCCAGGCCCCGCCTCCTCCCAGGTGCCGTCGAGGCGCCTGTCGGGTCCTATGTGCAGGAAGTGGCCGTGACTCCCGGAGCCGAGCGATGGCCCCGCGGAGCTGCGGCTCTGCAGGGGGAGGGGGTCAGGGGGTCTGGGGGTCTGGGGACCCCAAACACCCCACAAAACTCCCCCAAAACTTCCCCTAAAACCTCCCTAAATGACCCCCAAACACCCCCAAAACACCCCCAAATGACCCCCAAATCACCACCCAAAACACCCCCAAAACACCACCCAAATCACCCAAAACACCCCTAAAAACCGTCCAAAATCCACCTCGAAATTCCCCAAACACCCCCAAAACCCCCAAATCACTCCCAAACCCCCTAAAAACTGTCCAAACCCCCAAATTCCCCAAAACCCACCCAAAACACCCCTAAAAACCTCCCAAATCCCCCATAACCCCCCAAATCTCCCCAAGCCCCCATAACTCCCCAAATCCTCCCCACAAACCCTCAATCCCCCTCTCCCACCACACCAGGACCCTCAGAACCCCCATAACCCCCCATAACCCCCCAAATCCTCACTAACCCCCAAATCCTCATAACCCCCTATAACCCCCCAAATCCACCCATAACCCCCAAATCCACCCATAACTCCCTTTAAACCCCCTAAATCCCACATAACCCCTCAAATCCCCATAACCCCCAAATCCCCCTATAACCCCCTCATAACCCCCCTATAACCCCTCATACGGCCCCAAATTTCCTCATAGCCCTCAAAAACCCCCCAAATCCTCATAACCTCATAACCCCAACCTCTATAACCTCCATAACCCCCAAATCCCCTATAACCCCTCATAACAGCCCCCATTTCCTCATGGCCTCCTAACCCCCCCAAATCCCTCCCCTCACCGGGGCTTCGTGGGTCTCCTCCTGCGGCCGCACCCCGGACTTGGGCCACGAGCCCCGGAGCTGCTGCTGGCACAGGGAGGGGGCGGCGAGGCGCCGAGGGGCGCGAGGCCCGCGGGACGGGGGAGGGGCGTCCTGCCCCCGGCGCTGCCGGATCAGAGAGGCTGGCCAAGGCTGCCATGGGGGGAGGGTGGAGGGGGTTTGAGGGGCCTGAGGGGGGTTTGGGGGATTTGGGGGTTCTGGGGAGTTGGAGGTCCTGAGAGGGTTTTGGGGGATTTGAGGGGCCTGAGAGGGGGTTTGGGGGATTTAGGGGGGAATTGGGGGCCTGGAGGGGATTTGGGAGAGTCCTAGAGGGAGTTGGGGGATTGGGGGGCCTGAGAGGGGTTTGGGGGTCCTGAAAGGGGTTTGGGGGATTTGGGGTCCTGGGGTGATGGAGGGGTTGGGGAGGCCTGGAGGGGGTTTGGGGTGTCCTGAAAGGGGTTTGGGGGATTTGGGGGTCCTGGAGGGGATTTGGGAGAGGTTCTGGGAGGGTTTTGGGGGATTTAGGGAGAGTTGAGGGTCCTGGAGGGGCCTGGGGTTTAGGGGTCTCGGGGGAGTTGGGGGATTTGGGGAGATTTGGGGGCCTGGAGAGGGATTGCGGGTTCTGGGGGTCCTGGAGGGGGTTTGGGGAATCTAGGGGAGTTGGGGGTCCTAGAGGGGTTTTAGGGGGATTTGGGAGGTCCTGGGGTGGTTTGGGGGGATTTGGGGGTTCTGGGAGAGTTGGGGGCCTAGAGGGTTTAAGAGGCCTGGAGGGGGTTTAGGGGGCCTGGGGGATTTGGGCCGGTCCTGGGGGGATTGGGAGTTCTGGAGGGGTTTTGGGGGTCCTAGAGAGAGATTTGGAGGGTCCTGGAGGGGGTTTGGGGGGTCCTAGAGGGCTTGGGGGTCCTGAAGGTGTTTTGGGGGTCCTGAGGGGGTTAAGGGGCAGGGGGTCTGAGGGGTCACGGGGGCTTTGGGGGGTCAGAGGGGCGTCTGAGGGGTTTGTGGGGAGGGGGTCACCGTGTGGGGAGGGGTCGGGGGTCACTGGGGGTGGGGCTTGGGGTCACGAAATTTGGGGGAGGGGGTGTCACGTGACTCAGCGCGAGGCCCCGGGGGTGGGGTGAGGGGGTCCCGCCCTCCCTCCTGCCTGAGGAGAGCCCGATCGCGGGGGGGAGGGGAGGGTGTGGGGGTCTCCGCAGAGGTGGGGAGGCGAATGTGGGGAGGGGCTAAGGAGGGTTCCCGCCGAGGGGAGGGCGGAGGGGTCTCCCTCTCTCTCGGGGTGGGGAGGGGCCGGTCAGGGGGCTTCCCGCGAGGTGGGGAGGGGCGGGGGTCACGCATGAGTGGGGAGGGGCCCGAGGGGGGTCCCCGCTATTGAGGGTGGGGGAGGGGCGGATTGGGGAGGGGGAAGATTTCCCGCAGTGTGGGGAGGGGCCCGGAGGAGGGGGTGGGGGGAGGGTCTTCTCTCCGTCTCGCGGTGGGGGGAGGGGCGGGGGTCCCTGTCTCGGTGGGGAGGGGCGGGGTCTCGGCGGCGCCTGGGGGTCCTGCCGAGCGAGAGAGGAGGGGCCGGCGCTGGGCTGGATTTTAAGGGGGGAGGGGGAGGGGAGGGGCTGGAGGTTGGGGGGAGGGGAGAGGGGGAAGGGGAGGGGCGGGAGGGTCGCGCACGCGCGGGGCCGCGCGCAGGCGCAGTGGGGGGTGGGGGGAGGGGCCTGGGGGAAAGCCACGCCCATTCCCGGCATCCCCCGCGGCGGGGACGTGACGGGGAGGGACCAGTTGGGACCAGTACGGACCAGTTGGGACCAGTACGGAGCAGGTTCGGACCGGCAGGAACCGGGGCCTCCCAGTATGGACCAGTATGGACCAGTATGGCTCAGAGCTTCCCAGTACGGACCAGTATGGACCAGTACGGACCAGGGCATCTGAGAGCATCCCAGTCCAAACCAGGGCATCCCAGTACGCCCAGCACAGCCCAGTTCATCCCAGTACGGACCAGTATGGACCAGTATGGCTCAGAGCTTCCCAGTATGGATGGGCACACAGCCCAGTGCATCCCAGTATGGACCAGGGCATCTGAGAGCATCCCAGTCCAAACCAGGGCATCCCAGTCCATCCAGCCCAGCACAGCCCAGTTCATCCCAGTATGAAGCAGGGCATCCCAGTATGGCCCAGCACAGCCCAGTTCATCCCAGTATGAAGCAGGGCATCCCAGTAGCATCCCATCCCAGGGCATCCCAGTACAGCCCAGTTCATCCCAGTATGAAGCAGGGCATCCCAGTACAGCCCAGTTCATCCCAGTACGAAGCAGGGCATCCCAGTATGGCCCAGTGCAATCCCAGTGCAATCCTAGGGCACCCCAGTCCATCCGGGCTCATCCCAGTCCATCCCAGTTCCACCCCACTCCCTCCCAGTCCATCCCAGTTCCACCCCACTCCTTCCCAGTCCATCCCACTCCCTCCCAGTCCATCCCAGTTCCACCCCACTCCCTCCCAGCCCATCCCAGTTCTCTTCCAGTCCCTCCAATCCCCTCCCACTCCCTCCCAGTTCCACCCCAATCCCTCCCAGTCCCTCCCAGTTCCACCCCATCGCCCCCTCCCGCTTGGCCCATGGCATGACGTCATTCGGCGGAGGGCGTGGCCTCACTGTTTCCATGGCAGCCCCTGTGCTCTCTGGCGCCCCCGGCGGCAGCGCCACAAAATTCGCTTTTTGGGGAAAATTTTGTTGGTTTTTGTTTTTTTTCTTCCTTTTTTTCTCCTTTTTTTCCTCTTTCTTAAAAACACCCGCAGGCCGCCCCTCCCCCGCCCCTCCCCCGCCCCCACTGGCCCCGGGAATAAAAATAGATGCTCTCAGGTGGGGGGGAGGGGCGAGGAGAGAGTCAGCGGGGAGGGGCCGTCACCATGGCAACCGGGGACATCGATTGACGTCGCCATGGCAACCGGTGACGTCACCACGGCAACCGAGGGGCGACACGGAGGGGACCCGGAGGGTTGCCGTGGCAACGGGGATCCCTCCCCTCCTCAAATGGTGACGTCACCAGCGTGACGTCACGTTTCCATAGCAACCAGGGGCGTCGTGGTGATGTCACCACAGCAACTGGTGACGTCACAGGGGGGACACTGCTGGGGTGCCCGAGGGGCTCCATGGCAGCGG